ACTGTCGCAGCTCCACCAGCTTCACCAGATAAGCTCCTCCTCTCACTTCCTCCTCTCTATATACTTCACACGTGTATAGACACACACAATAATTTGCAGGATAATGTGTTTAATTTGTGTATATATGTGATAAACTGAAAAGTATGGTTGTATTGTAATTTCTGAGTTATGGGTACTCTTATATAGGAGAATACACCATTAATAGTTGGTTACAAACTAAAACCTGACAGTTTAACCTAAAGCTGGAATTAAATTCTAACATCCCCCCTTAATTCCAGTATCAATACTCAAAATCCCTAGTTTTTCTCTGATTATCTTGAACTTCTCCTTCTTCAAAGGTTTGGTTAGGATATAAGCTAGCTGGAGTTGTGTAGGACAGTAAACCAGTTTCAACTTCCCATTGTTAACTTGATCTTGTATGTAATGGAAGCGAGTCTCAATGTGCTTGCTTCTGCCATGTGAAACCGGATTATTTACAAGATTTATAGCTGACTTGTTATCAACAAGCAGCTCAATAGGTTGTTCCAATTCAACTCCTATCTCTGTCATCATTGAGTTTAACCATATAGCTTGACAAGCTGCACTTGATCCTGCTATATATTCAGCTTCACATGTAGATAGAGCGTGCTTCTTGCTCCACCAAGAAATTGGTGCTCCCATAAACATAAACACACAACCTGTGGTACTTCTTCTATCCACACTATCTCCACACCAGTCTGCATCAGAATAACCAACCAACTTTGTCTGTATTTCTTTAGATTTTGGAAATAATACTCCAAAATCTAATGTTCCCTTTACATATCTCATGACCCTTTTGGCTGCTAGCATGTGTTTCTGCTTAGGTTGCTGCATGAATCTACTTAGGATGCCTACTGCAAAGCAGATATCTGGCCTACTGTTGCAGAGGTACCTAAGAGACCCAACCACCTGTTTGTACAGAGTACCATCTACCTCACTTTCTCCATCTTCAGTTACTATAACTTTTCCCTCAGCTGGTGTTACTGCTATGTTGCAGTCCATCATTTCATACTTTTCTAGGATCTCCGCAGCATACTTCCTCTGATGTAGAATCAATCCTCTCTCAGTCTCCACAAACTCCATGCCTAGGAAGTATTTTAGTCTTCCTAAATTAGTCATTTCAAATTCCGTCATTAACAACTTCTTAAATTCTTCTATCTCGTCAATATTGCTTCCTGTAATGAGCAAGTCATCCACATATATACACATTAAGACTAGATCAGTCCCTCTGCCATACTTCACATATACTCCATGTTCCACTGAACATTTCTTAAACTCTTGGCTTAACATAAAAGCATCTATTCTTCTGTTCCAGGCCCTGGGTACCTGTTTAAGGCCATAGAGAGCCTTCCTCAGCCGATACACTTTATGCTCAACACCTTTCTTCACAAATCCAGGAGGTTGTGTAACATAAACCTCTTCTTCAAGCGGGCCATTTAGGAATGCAGATTTGACATCCATCTGAAATAAAGGTCACTTTCTCCTATTTGCCAAGGCTACTACCATCCTTATTGTCTCAATTCTGGCCACAGGAGCAAATACTTCTGTGTAGTCCAGCCCTTTCTTTTGTAAAAATCCTCTCACAACTAGCCTTGCCTTCCTTCACGTTAATACTGCCATTTGGATTCACCTTTAGTTTGAAAACCCATTTCGGATCAATGGGTTTTTTGTTACTTGGGTAAGTCGATCGGTTCCAGGTGTTTGTCCTCTCAATGGAGTTTAATTCTTCTAACATGGCTTTCTTCCATAATTCTTGTTTCATGGCTTCATCATGATCTAATGGTTCAGCTTCTGCCATTAGTGCAAAATGCACCAAGTCTCCCTCACTTGTCACAGCATCATCTAGATATACTTCAAAATCCACCAGAGTTCGTGGTGGTCTTCTCTGCCTCACAACTCTTTGAGACTGGGGTTCTATCGTATTTTCTCCTGTTGTATCAACTTCTTCCTCTTCTTCAAAGAACCCTCTAGCTTGCTTGCCTTCCCTTTGTCTTTCATTCCAATCCCAGGATTCTTCTTCACTTACCATAACATCCCTGCTGATACAAATCTATTTGGAAACAGGATTGTATAGCCTATAAGCTCCTGTGGACTGATAACCCACAAAAATCATAGCCTCACTTTTATCTGCCAGTTTTGTCCTTTTAACATCTGGCACATGTTTGTAGCATTTTGAGCCAAATATCTTCAAATGCTTAACCCCTGGCCTATTACCACACCAAACATCCTCTGGAACTTTATCTTCCAGCTTTTGTGTAGGACACTTGTTTAGCAAATAGACAGTTGTTGAGACAGCTTCCCTCCATAGTGAATGAGGCAACTGTTTTTGTTTTATCATACTCCTGGCCATGTTAAGTATCATTCTATTCCTTCTTTCTGCCAACCCATTATGTTGTGGAGTATATGGTGCTATGACTTCATGTTGCACACCATTCTCTCTGCAATAATCTTCAAAGTCATTTGACAAATATTTCTTTCCTCCATATGTTCTCAAGATCTGAATCATCTTCCCACTTTGTTTTTCTGTCATCATTTTAAATTTCTTGAAAACAGAGAACACCTCTGATCTGACTTTGATCAAATACAACCAAATCATTCGGTTGTACTCATCAACAAATGTGACAAAATATTTATTTTGTCCAAGTGATAACTCCTCAAATGGTCTGCATACATCAGAATAAACTACCTGCAATACCTCCTTTGCCCTCATGTGCATATGTGTTTTGAAGGCATTTCTGGGTTGTTTTCCCACCAAACACCCTTCACACACCTTTCCTGGTACAGCTAATGTCTCAGGCAGTCCAGTCACCATCCCTTTATCAGCCAACTTCTTCAAACTGGTAAAATTTAAGTGCCCATACCTACTATGCCACAACCAACTCACTCCCTCTGCCGTAGTTGCTGTTAAACATTGATTTTCTGTCAAGAAAAGCCTTGTCTGAAATGTCCTGTTCTTTGCCAAAGGAGATTTCAGTGCAAGCCTTTTCTTAGCATCATAAACTCTCAACATTTCCTCCTTCATTGACACTGAAAAACCTTTCTGCACCAACTGTCCTACACTCAACAGATTGCATTTCATCCCTGGCACATATAACACATCCTCTATCACTATGACTTCTTTGCCATCTTTCTTAATTACCACATTCCCAACTCCTTCAGCCTTTATGACATTGTCATCTGCTAGCTTTATCTTGCTGGATCTACTGGTATCTATGCTGGATATCCATTCTTTGTGCCTAGTCATATGGTTGGAACATCTAGTGTCAAGAAACCAAGTTTCAACACCAAATTCTTCTTCATTGGTCGTTACCATAAGCACCACAGGCTCCTCCTCTGAATCATCTTGTGCTACTTTTGCCTCTGCATCAACTGGGCCCCTTTTCTGTCTTCCTTTTCCATGCCAGCAGTCTGCTGCATAATGACCCCATTTCTCACAATTGTAGCACTGAATTTTCCGCATATCAACACTCTTCTTTCCTCCTCTCGTCTCTCCAAGACCCACGTCCTCCTTGAGCCTTCCGATATGTTTTCTCTCAGTAACCGGAATCTTGAGACAAAGAATTTCTTTCTTTGTTAAATCTGCCTCCTCCTCTATTCTTCTTCCAGTTTCCTCTGTCAGAGCCACAACTTTTCTTGCTGATCTGGGCTTTCAAGGCCTGCTCATCCTCTGCCTTCTCAGATTTTCGCGTTGTGCGCTTTAACTCGTGTGCTTGTAACGTACTTTGTAATTCCTCCAGTGACAGGACCTTCATATTCCTACCAGACTCTTCTATTGCCACTACTACATTATCAAAATTTTCTGTCAGTGTACGCAGAACCTTTTCTACTGTACTCAATTCAGTCACGGTTTCTCCACAACTTTTAATCTGATTGACGAGCAACTGCAACCTATTGAAATAGTCTGCTACACTTTCGGTTTCCTGCATTGAAAGTAACTCATATTGTCTTCTTAAAGACTGCAACCTGACCTTCTTGATTTTTTCTGCACCACCATGAGCCCTCCGCAGTATTTCCCAGCATTCTTTTGTTGTCTTGGCCTTGGCTATTTTCTAAAAATTCACAGAATCCACACACTGATGCAAGAGACACCGAGCCTAGCAATCTCTCTTCTTGTTTGCGGCTTCGTCCTTCTCCTTTGCACCTTCTGTTACTACTTCCCATAGTTCTTGATAACTAAGAATAGCCTCCATCCTTATGACCCAATGATCATAATTCTTTCCATCAAGAGATGACAAATTAGAAAAGAAATTCCCACTGCCATTTCCATTTCCTACCATACTGCAAATGTCCCTGGTTCGTAACCTGCTCTTGATACCACTGTTCAAACTGGCCCAATACTCAGACCCACTTCTCTCTTCTACTAAAGGGTAATAATACCCACGTCTTCACACACGCACCAAAAACAACACGAGAAAGAGGGAGAAAGTTAACACAGTGACCACGAAAACTCCAGCTCACTCTAGGGTTCCACCGTCCACCGTCGCAGCTCCACTAGCTTCACCAGATAATCTCCTCCTCTCTATATACTTCACACGTGTATAGACACACACAATCATTTGCAGGATAATGTGTTTAATTTGTGTATATATGTGATAAACTGAAAAGTATAGTTGTATTGTAATTTCTGAGTTATGGTTACTCTTATAAAGGAGAATACACCATTAATAGTTGGTTACAAACTAAAGCCTGACAATTAAACCTAAAGCTAGAATTAAATTCTAACATGTGTTATATGTGCTAGGGATGAAATACAATCTGTTGAGCGTAGGACAGCTGGTGCAAAAAGGTTTTTCGGTGTTAACGAAGGAGGAAATGTTGTTTTTGGTGCGTGTGCGAAGACAATTATTCTATTTTGTTAAATGTTAAATATTTATTTAAAAAACAATTATTTGAGGTTAGATAAATTTATATAAAAATATTTTTAATATATATAAACAATGAAAAGGGATTTTTTCTTTTTTTACTCTAAAAGCAAGTGTTACCCTTTCATCAGATCTATCATCTCTCTTTTTCTTTCACGTAGAAAATCAATAATCCTAAATATTACATAACACAATTTAAAATATCAAATTATTTCATTGATATAATTTTCCTTGCAGGAAACTCCTAAAAGAAATAATAACACTTAATAACAAAATTAACATATTAGTATTTTTAACAAAAAAAAACCTTCTCAAAGAAATAAAAATTTACGATACAAGCTAATCAATCTAATTTCACTAAAATCAATAATACGAATATAAACAAATTTAATGAAAATACACAAATAAATGTTCAAATAATTAATATATTAAAGTAATAATGTTAATATCTTCAATTAATGATCCAATTGTCAAAATAAATAATTTTATTATCCAAACCTATTATCAAAATTTCGAGTCTAATTAAAAGTTAATAAAACAAGACTTGATAAATAATCAAAACTGTTTTTTTTAACTATACATTTTTTTATCTAAACACTAGTACAAAATAGGCTTTTAACATCGGTTCTAGAACCGATGTAGAAAGTGTGACTTTCCACATCGGTTGTAAGGAACCAATGTAGAAAGTCTAATATTTTTATTTATTTATATATTCATAACCCCTTTCTAATTACCCTATTACCTCTCCCATCCTCTCCCTTTTATATTATATTTTTATTATTTATATTTTTTAGGAATTTGAATTATTATCAGATTAAGAGAATTGTCACTAGCATGATTTGAACCCAATACCTTAGAATCGAAGGTCGATACTCCAACCACTAAGCTACCAGGATTTTTCGATAATAACTTATACATAAATTATATTTATATACAAATAAAAATGTATATCCATGTAAATATATAAATATAAAATATATAAATACAAATACAAATATATTTATATATTTATATGTTGGATGTGAGGACGCGCTCGAGAATGAAAGTGTGTGTCGAGTGAATTTTCAAAATTTGATGTCAAATTTGTGAGCGGGTCTCTTTATATGGATTATAATTTAATGACAAAATATAATATTTATAATTTATTTATATAATGATATAAAATAATTTTTTTCTTTATTTTATATCATTATATAAATTAATTATAAAGATTATATTCTATATTATTATAAATAAATTATAAAGATTATATTCTATCATTAAATTACAAATTCATATAAAGAGACTTGCTCACAAATTTGACATCAAATTTTGAAAACCCACTTGACACACACTTTCACTCTCGAGCGCACTCTCACATCCAACATATAAATATATTTGTATTTGTATTTATATATTTTATATTTATATATTTACATGGATATACATTTTTATTTGTATATAAATATAATTTATTTATAAGTTATTATTAGAAAATCCTAGTAGTTTAGTGGTTAGAGTATTAGTATTTAATTTTAAGGTATTTGGTTCGAATCCTGCTAGTAACAATTCTTTTAATTTTATAAAAACACTTTCTACATCGGTTCATTTGAGAACCGATGTAGAAAGTTTTTTCTACATCGGTTCATCTGGGAACCGATGTAGAAAGTGTTTTCTACATCGGTTTCTAACTAAACCGATGTTGAAAGTCTTGAATTCACTTTTTACATTGGTTCTTAAAGAATCGATGTGGAAAGACCAATGTTAAAAGTGATTTCTTTAGTAGTGAAACTAAATGAGATAAAATAAAATTGTCTAATTTAAATTGACACGTATACGTGAGAGTCCAACCAATGTTTCCTTCCTCTTAACCCTACCACCCCTCGAAAACATATAACACATAGTAAAATTCATTTATATTTTTGTAGGATGATTTGACACCACAAACATGAAATAGTGCTCTTTGTTGGCAGTCACGACCACTCTCTCTATGTGGTGGTGCAAACTTCCCCAGCTTCAGGAACCAACCCCAAGTCACCCTGGACGTCTCATGTGTCCTTCAATGGACAGAGAAAAGCACCTTCCAAGTAAACTCAAACCATCATATTCATTTGACTATGTGTAATGATTTTGATTCTTGGAGAAAATTATTTCTTTTACACTAAAGTATAAGGCTCCACAGGGATTCTAGTGGGGTTCAGAATTGTGTATACCTTCCTTTTCCTACCATTTGGTTTTGGTTTTAGCTTTTGGTGCGCAATTTGGTGAAGATCGCTTACACTTTTAATAACATATCTTCACACTTGGGGGGACCAGGGAAAGAATATTCTAGGGACTGTAATAGCCTGTCTCTTTATTTAAGTAACCTAATTCAAATCTATACATGTAGAGTAAGACTTTTAAATTTAAAATTATTTTTTATTATTTTCAATAAATTTATTAATCTTTTTTCTACTAATAGTCTAATAATCTTAATATTATCTTCAACCTAATGAGAGTAACTTATTTGAGATATTTCTTATTTTTAAAAATGTAAAAATAGATTTGTTTAATTTTATTTTAATGAAAAAAATAATTTTAAAAATCTCATTCTCTTCTATTACATTATTTTTATTTATTTTTTATAATTATTTCATTATGAAACTTATCATATCTTACTCGAGGAAATTTTATTAGAGATGTTCTAAGCAACTAGTTATTTATTCTTTATGTGTAACAAACATGATTTAAAGACAATGATATAATTGATAAAAAAAACTAATTAAAATTTACAAAAATCATATATATATTTAGAAATGTTTTTTTTTAAATAAACGATGTATTTTAAAATGGAGGGAATAATAATGTACGGAATAAATAATAAATACAAGAAGACTTTTATTATGAATTTAAGAGCATCAAACTCTTTAAATTGTACACTCAGATTTCATGATTGGCCCAAAGAAGAAAAGGAAAATTGAGCTTTGTATTTAATGTTGGAGTTGAGTTAGGGCATTAACTATTATTAGTGGTCAACGAAATCAAGGTGACGAATTTTACCAATTAATAACTTCCTCTACATTCAAACAACATACTTTGGTCAAATGGGTTCCCCACAAATCTTTACTTTTAGATCCTTCTCATAATAACGTAATGACGTAATTAAGTACAGTCAACTAGAGAAGCATGTTTATTTCATCATAATTAATTATTAATTAATAACCATAATTTCAATAATTATGGACATGAATTATGATTGCAAATCCCACCAGCACCAACAAGTACATATAATGAAACTAATGGAGCCGAAGTCAAATTAAGTAAATGCACATTCATTCTCCCCAAATTCTAAAGGAATGTAGGATGTGCATGTCCTCTATATTCTTTTTTATTTTAATTAAGTAAAATTAGTTAAATATTTTAAATCGTTTAAAAGTAAAAATAAAGAATAATTTATATATAAACTATCTTTTTAAGAATAAAACCATATCAAAATAAAATTCTAAAACGGATAATAAATCTGAAATTCATCACATACTCGTTATTTATTTAAATGAAACATTAATTATTTTAAACAAAACATATACGATAGTATAATAAATATCTTAAATTCATATATCTTCATAATTTATAATTAATTAATAATAGATTCAAGTAGAACATAATATTTAATAAATATTGAATACATAATTCTAATCACTAAATCAGTTTAAATTTTAATCGATATAATTATATGTGGGATATTAAAATTTCAACGGATATAAAACTTTATATATAGGGTAAAAAATTTAAAAGTATTTCATGATTTCACTCGCTTGTCTCGCGTTACAACCTCTTCATCAGACGTTTTAATTTTTCATGTTTTATAGCACACTTTACTTTTTCTTTGTCGATAACTACTATTTTACCATCGATATGAAAAGTTTATGCTTTCAGTGATGTGACAATCTCTGACAATTATATAATTAGATAGAAAGTCCAAACATTAGTCCTTTATTATATATAAAAAATAAACCTTTATTTATACTAACTATTTCAAAAATTATATTTATAACAATTGCTTATTGAAAGTATATACAAATAAATAACACATACCAGTTAAACTTTATTCTTTATAAAATTTTTTTATCAATGTAGTTTAAATATTCATGTAGTTTCAATTTATTGTTATGAATATTAAGGTTATAAAAACGGACCATTCGGTTTCGTTTGTCTCTATATATTAAACTAAAAAAATAATGATTTATTCTTATTTATATTTTAAAATAGATTATAATTTTACATTAACCTTATTTTATACTAGATCAGCTGATCAATTTTGATTTAGTTAAAAATTAAAAATAAATTAATAACATATTTTATAAAAATAATGAATTAAAAAAAAGAACTATTAAAAATTTATTTTTAAAATAAGTGAATCATTTATTAAATTAATTTATAATATATATATATATAATAAAATATTATTTTTATTTAAAAACAATAATTAATTTTTAAATTTGATCAAATTATAAATATACGAATCTAAGTATATTTAAATTATAATTGGACAAAATTTAGATATTTTGATGTTGTCCTTCCCATTAAACTTATTTTAATATTTATTAGCTTTAGGTAATCCAAATGTGAGTGTAAGACTTATATAATGTAAAAATTAGAAAATTGAATAACATATAAAGAAGTATGACTCATAATTCAATGGTTAAAGGATTTGGGTTAAGAGTGATATTAATCCTTATGTAAGTTGAACTTATGTTTTATTGGTGTCAGTCAGACTCTAGGTCGGAGTAGTTTTTTTATCGAAAGTCTTCACCGAAAGTTGTTCGAGAATGGATCATACTTAGAACAGTAAAAACAGAAAAGGAAATTGAGTTAAAATGACTCATAACCCAATGCATTGAGACACAAGAATAACTCATATAAGGGATTATACCACTCTTAATTAAAAATCTTAGAACAATAAAAACAGAAAAGGAAATTGAGTTAAAATGACCCATAACCCAATGTCTTGAGACATAAGAACAACCCACGTATGAGATTATTACACCACTCTCAACCAAAAACCTTAAGACAGTAAAAAAGAAGATTCATAACCCAATGTCTTGACACATGAGAACAACCCAAATAAGGAATTACATTACTCTCAACTTAAGACACTAAAAAAAAAAAAATCCATAACTCAATATCTTGAGACATGAGAACAATGAGATTACATCACTCTCAACAAAAAATCTTTGGATCAGTTTTAGAACAGTCAAAATAGAAAAGGAAATTGAGTTAAAATGACCTTATAACCCAATGTCTTGAGACATGAGAACAATTCACGTAAAAGATTACACTACTCTCAATCCAAAACCTTAAAATGACCTCATAACCCAATATCGTGAGACACGAGAACAACCCATGAAATATTACACCACACTCGTATCCAAAACCTTTAGATAAAAAAAAATATAGAGTTAAAATGAATAACAAACTAAGTCAATTTTTTGAATAGAATTAATACCATTGATATCATATTATTTTTAATGAACAGACACCTTATTGGTTGGTGTTTATATATTTTGATTATTAAAAATATACAAATAAAGTGGACCTCATTGTTGCGTCTCAAACATGTGAGATCCACCACTTTGGTTGAAAAGATTGGCACAGGAATTCCCACATTGGTTTGTATCTCTGTGGGCAATTTGCTTTTTAAAAATGTGGGTTGTGCACATTCTTTGTCTCCATTAAATATCTTGCACATAATATCTAATATCTTGTACATAAGACAAATCTAACATAAAACACGATTAACATTAAACGTACGTGAACTCCTATTCTAACAATGGCTAGAATTATGAATACGATTCCATCATCATTTTACTAGAAATTAGTGCCAACTCTGGTTTTGCATTGGTTGCTTCTTGTGGAGTGAGTGGAGGAAGCGAAATTAGATGGGGAATCAAAGGAAGCCACTGAACATTTACCAAAGTAAGGTTCCATAATTGAGACTCATGAGATTACCATTCTCAACAATTAACCAGCCAAATTGGAAATGGGGTTGATCTAATCTTGATCAAAGTTCAAAGTGTGTAGGACACTTCTACACTTCTTCTTCACTTGGGTGGCAATAACACGTGAAGTGTGATGAATGGCATAGTTACTTCCAATATCAACTTCATTCTCTCTCTCTCTCCATAGTGTCCCCAATCTAGCTATGGCTGCCAACAATTTGGACTATCAAGTTGGATTCGCACCAGAAACGTCTCATCAGACTATAACATAGTGGGGGGTGCAGTTATGTCACACTATTCATAGTGAATGAATTTTGGTATTCTTTCTTAGAACTTAAAACTATAATGATGAGAAAAAATAATAATTTGAGGCTTTTAAAGCGAGCAGGTGTAATAAAATTTTAGATTCAATAAATTACGTTGATGAATACAATGTTTACTGGAATAAATCATTTTATAAAATTAAATTAAGTATCTTATTATTTTTATATGGCACGATCGGTTATTTTAACTGATGTTAAAATATTGAAAAATATTTTCTCATCAAATAAGAGTCCTATGACAAATCATTCTCAAAATCGATATCGCACATTTTTTTTAAATATAATGATTATTTTATAAAAAATTATAGTTAACTTTTAATTTAAACTTAATTATAAAAATTAATTCAGATAAAATTATTATCAAGAGTTGTTTAGCAATAAAAGTGAATATTTTATTATGAATTTTATATTTAAATTGTTTAAAAGTAAAAAAGAATTATTTAAATTAAAAAAAAATTATTTATATAAATAACTCTAACTAAATTTTAAACCACTGTAAAACCTATAATAAAATATTTAATTTTTTTTTGTAACTCTTAAAAATATTCTTTGAAGATTGAAGATGCTCTATTATAACCAAACTCCACTAAGAAGACACAGTGGTAGTGGTAATACAGCACGCCATGCAAAAGAAAATTTCAATAGTTGAATCAAAAGAGAATTTCACCCAAATCAGAAAGTACCCCTATTGAACTTTGTAGTCAAATAAAGTATATTCTCTTTACATTCTAATTGTTATGTGGGTTTAAATTATATGTTTGGCCTTTTATTTTTAATTGTGAACATTTTTATCTTTAAATTTGTCTTTAAAATTTTTATTTAAAATTAATTTTTATTTTGTAGATTAATTTTTTGGATAAAATATTTTTATATATACATATTATAACGTTAAAAAAAATTCAGTTACATGAAAACCAGTCAATTAGTCTAAGTTATGGTCGACAAAAATTTAGAACTCATTTTAAAATATTAGATTTTTTTTTTAACTTGAAGAATTAAGCCTAATTAATACTTATTTTTCTATTTTTATTATATTTTTTATTTTTCTTTAATTAAACACTCTTTTTTTCGTTTATTTTCACTCCATCAATTTATTTCATTCCAACTTTACTCCACCAAATCAGACATGTCTGAGACCATTGAATGTATTAGGTTGCCACAGTAAACGTAATATGCTTTTAAGGATTGGAGTAATTTCTGTACCTCCTTTGGTATCTTTTTTCCTTATAAGAATAAAATACTTAAGTTCTTGTTTTCTTTTTAATTATTTATAAATTATGATCACTAAAAATGTTACAAATTAAATAATTTTAAAAATAGATTAGAAACATGATATTTATATTAAAAAAAGAAAAAAGAAAAACTAACTCCTCCCTTGAAATATATTATAGTAACCCTTCCTATATATATTATATATAAAAGAAAAAAATACACATTACACATTATATAAGTAAGAAAGTTATTGTAAAAAGTAGAATTTTCACGCGAAACATTAGAGCTTAAGAGTGATGTGAGCGTAATTTGTTTGAGTTTAAAAAATGTGAGTTTGCACGGCAATTTTTGAAATTTGGATGAAGTTCGATATTTGATGAATGTTGAGTAACTCGCGAATTTAAAATATTTTTATTAGTTAATTTTTTTAAAAATTGAAAATAATAATTTAAAAGATATATTATGATATAATCCAAAATTCAGTATTTGGGAATGTACGGAAAGTTTAGTTTAATTTAAAAATCTAAATAAATTAAACTATATTTTTTAAAATAAATTTTACTTTTTATATTTATTTTTATTTTAGGAAAACGACCGCATATTAATAACATTATTGTACATACAAACTAAATTTTATTTTTAATAATAATAAATTAGTGAAAACTTAGACGTTCAAATGCCGGTGTGTTTATATTTTTTTATAATTAATTTTTTTTTCACTTTTTAAAAATATCTAATTTTTTGTCATATTTTTATTAATTTTTAATACATATAGTATAATAATGATTTTTTCTTTAAATTATAACATTTTAATTTTTTAGATAACATCAAAAGAACGATTTAAAAAAAATTATATATAATTATAAATAAATTGGTTTAAAATGACAAAAGAACATGAAGTATAAAAGTAAGTTAAAATTTTACTTAATTATTTAATAATATCTATAAACAAATTTATAAAAATAATTTTAATGACTAAGAATCCATTCAACCTTATATTTAACTCCAAATATTATTATTATTCAAAATTTTACACTAAAAAAAGATATATGATGATATTTGTAACCTTTCAGACTCATAATTTGACAATTGAACAATAGAATCTTCAAATAAATTTTTTAATAAGAGTTGTTTAGAAATAAAATTAAATATATTATTATGATGTTTAGAAATAAAATTAAATATATTATTATGAATATTATGTTTGAATTATTTAAAATTTAGTAAAAATTGTTTATATAAATAATTTTTTTTAATTTTAAGTAACTTTTTCTATTTTTAAATAAGATAAAATCGATAATAAAATATTTATTTTTATTAAAAGAAAATTATTGACAGCACCACTTCCTTCCTTTGTAGGTATTTTAAGTAAACTTGAATTGAAGCATGTAAATAGATTCAATTCAATACGTATGTCGCAAAAAAATGGGGTAGTTGTGGTCCCATGTAGTTAGAAGATCCGCAACTGGAAAAGAGAAAGAGAATCTTGAGGGAGCATAATGATTTCATGTTTACATTCACCATATATCTTCCCACGTTCACATTAAAAATTAGATCGCTAATTAATAATTATAACACCAATAATATGGAAACCCTAATAGCCTATAAATACCCTCCACACACAACGTTCTGCAACCAACCACATTGGACTCCAAAATCTGAAATTCTCCGACTCTCCACTCCATAATGGCAAGTTTGAAACTCGTGTTCACGATCAGTTCTGTTCTTCTATGTTTGGTTTTTTCCAATGCAATTGTTTCAGCTAAGGCAAGGGCACTGAGAAAGGATCATGTGATGAGAACCTACGAAATGGGTGCAGTGGAAGACAACATTAATCTCCTGTGGCGGCGCAGCATCATGGAAAATGCCGCAAGAGCAACCACGTTGACTTCTCCGAGTGTTGGTGTTGATACAAAATGGATCGATGATTTCCGACCAACGGATCCTGGTCACAGTCCTGGTGCTGGGCATTCTTCTCCTACCCCAAAGGATAGCAGCAATGGTGCCCCAAGGCCATAGGTGTACATCATTCTCTTGCATATAAAATGGTTGCTTGCATACTCAATGGATTATAATATTATAATATTAGTATTACATTATTTGCTATTATGCCATATGGCTGATTAATTAGTCATGTCATAGAAGAAGATGTAGTTTCAATTGCTTTGTGTGAACCTTCTAAGTCCTTCAATTTGTGTTTTTGTAAATTATGTCCCTATTGCTTGGAAAAACAGTGGTGTTGCTGCTTTTAGTCACACTTTGTTTTTCACCCCAATATTGGTGTAATCATTTGTAATGAATAATAATTGTGTTGATTAAAATGGTCACCATGCTGTCTTATGCCATTTCTTTTATACTATATACTAGCGAAAACATGTACACCTATACATGTGTATTTTTTATCATTATTTTTATAAAATTATGTTTTTATTTATAATTTAAGATGGTATATTTAAGATGAGAAAGAGAAAATTAAAAATTGTGTAATTGATATGTTTTAAGGAGAGAGAAAAATAACACAAATTGATGATTTTTAAAAAATGACAATTTTTTATTTATTAATTTATTAATTATATTGGAGATATATGAGAGAAGATAAATTATTAGAATAAATTAAAAATTAGACAATGAAAAATAATAATTATGAAAGGAATATCTTTATATATTATAGATAATATTGAAAATTATATATGTAATATATTTAGAAATTTATAGACGATTAGGTAAAATTTTATGATAAAATTATATAAATTTAAATATATAATTTTTTTTTAAATTGCTTATTTTTAGTACAAGAGAACACACCAACGCAATCTAATTAAACGTAAACAGAATAACAAATAATAATAAACAAAAGACTCAAAACAATAATATTTATACATAAAAATATTCTTTACTAGTTTATATTTTTCTTTATTATAATACTAGAAGTGAAAATAGGTCAGACTAATTACATTATAGTCACTAAGCTTAAGATTAGTTTTTCTACCATGTGTAGGTTAATTTTTAAAGATGGATATAACCTAATTAAAAGTTTGATCAAGTATAAAGATAACTTGTTTTTATGTAAGAACTGTGACGACGGTGGCTGTATTTGTGAATAATTTATTTTATTTTATCTATATATTACTAAATTAAAGATATGTTTAAAATTATTTTAAAATTAAATAATTATATAATAATCAAATTAAAAATATATTTAAAATGATTATTATTTTTATAATTTAATTAATAATTAAATTGGTACGTTTGAAGTAATTATTAATATTTAAATATTTTAAATTAATAATAAATTTAAGATATTTTAAAATAAGTATTTTTTTATAATCAATGAAATGATTATTATAATTTTATGATAATCATACAAAGATTATTTTTTTAAGAAATATTTTATTACAACTCTAATTAATAAAAATAATATTGCATGGTTAATAATTTCATAAAATAATATTTTAATTTTTGAAGAGTGAAAATAATAATTATTAAAATTTAATTATAAATTTATTACTAGTGATTCATTAATTTAAATTATTTTTAAGAAAAGAAGTTGAATTATATTTTTATTTTTATATTTATAATTTAAACATAAAAAAAAATTTAGACGCATTATTTGAAACTTTTTTTTGTGATATTGATCCCAACAAAATCATTCATCGATAGTGGCGGATCTTGAGTATTGATTTTGGGAGAGTCAAATAATATATTATTAATAAATAATAAATAAATATAAAAAGAAGAAATAAGATAAAAGGATAAAACTGTAGATATATACTTAAATATATTAAATGATCATTAAGTTTGAGGGAGACAAAATCATAAATTTTATGAGTTATAAAACCGAGGAGAGACTAAGAGGATAAAATTGTAAATATACAAGTAAATATATTAAATATTCATTAAGTTTGGGGGTCAAAATCATAGATTACATGGGAGTTACAAAACTTTGGGGGAGGGGGTCACGGCCCCTCAGCTCCCAAGAAGATCCGCCATCTGTTCATCAATATTCTATTGTTTCTTTTCTAGTGGACCATCAATGAGCATCTCGTATTTGATTGAGTAAACCCATCAATATTCTACTGGTTTATTTTTTTAGTGGACAATCATCAAGGGTCAAAATTTTATTCTTTTGAAGTGAGTTCATCTCCTTATTCATAGGGTAAGCTAAAGCTTCCTGTACATTATTAGGAATAACTGCGATAGATAACTGGTTCATAAATATTTTATTTATTTTTGTCAATGTATGATTAGATAAATAATTACTTATAGGACATTTAGTTTTACTAAAGATTTAAGGTTCATAATATAAGTTTAAGAATATATCTGGTGAGACGATTTGACAATTGTTTTTTGGCCAACAAATGATCGATAACATCTCGATCAAGAGTTTCATGTACTTTAATATCATTTCCATATAGAGATTCACATAGTTCTTCAACGTTATCCCCATTAAAGGTTCATGTGGTGCTTCAATGTTATCTTTATTAAGAGATTTTTGTGATGCTTCAATATTATCTTTAGTAAGAGATTCTCGTGTCATATGATTTGTACTTCCACTATCAATAATTCATATATCATTAGAAGTATTAACAATTTTACTAGGATTATTCATAGTTACTTCTAATGCAAATACCTTTTCATTTTTTTTCCAATGAATATCTCTTTTTTCAACTCTAACATTTGTGTCTCATTTATGTCATTATAACATGCTTTTGAAAAAATATTGGAAACTTCCTGAGTTTGAATAACAAAAGGAACTAATTTCTTTCAAGATGTATCAAATTTTCTTTCTTCCATTTGGAGGGGTTTCAAAGGATTTAAAATCTAAAGGATCATCATGACTCTAATACTAACTTGAAAAATATAAATTGAAATATATTCATTATCTCGATATGAAATAAACTATGTACATCCTATTTATAAGATACAAGATATATGTACTTAAGTAGGTTGCTAGGAAACTAAAATATTTTACAATTAAATCAAATCCTAATAAAATAATATATAATTTGTACAATGATATTTTGTAAAGTGAATAAAAAGAAATTAAATATTAACACTCTCCCTCAAGTTGATGTATATAAATCTCATATGTCTAACTTGACAAGACATTTTGAGAATCCTTTATTTGAGATTATATTTATTAGGATATAAGTTAATTGATCTTCTGAGCAAATTGTAATCAATTCTACAATTTTTTTCTTTTAACTTTTTCTTAATAAATAATCTATCCACTTCAACATGTTTTTTTTATATGTTATACTGGATTATGAACAATATCACAAGCAACTTTATTATCAATATAATTTAATAGATTGTGTGGAAAAACATCTAAGATATTGCAAGAGAAATCCTAGTCATAAACCTTCACAAATTTCAAGTGTTAAACCTCTAAACTCAACTTCTACTTCTACTTGATCGAGGAATCACACTTTGTTTTTTCTTCTCCATGTAACAAGATAACCACCAACAAATATAAAATAGGTTGATGTTGATTGTTTCCTAATGATATATGAATTATTGATACTAGAGCTACAAATCGTATAACATTTGATCCTAGGAAGGTCACAAAAACTAAACCATCTACACAAAAATATGTTTCTATTGCAAATGAAAATAAAACCTAAATTATTGGGGAATGGTCTTTAAATCTTAATAGTTATTTAAATCTTGATTTTGTCTTGATTGTTCATTCTTTAAATTTTAATCTTTTATCTATTTCTCAAATAACAATTGATTTATATTGTGTGATAATTTTTAATCCTGATCAGTTGTGTTCTTAAAGATATCAAAACAAAAAATTAATTAGTTATGATATTAGGAGAGAAAATTTATATTACCTAGATATTTCAAAAAAAATATGATGAGTCACAACATGCATTAAAGTTGATAACTCTAAGGGAGAAAAAAATTGAAATCTGATGATGCCTTGGTTATGTCTCATTAATGTATTTTAATTTTTTTTTCTACTTTATTTAAAAAGTATGATATTTCTAGTTTTTCACTATTATGTTTGTAAATTTGTAAATGAAAGCAATGAGGGGGAGATTGATGGAAATGTTCCTACATTCCCAAGAGATGATTTTGATGATGATTCAAGTCAACTACATTCAAGTCAACACCATTCAAGATGAATTAAGGACAAGCTAAATTTATGACGTTGGTGACAATGTGAAACATTTTCCTACATGCCCAAGATATGTTTTTGATAAAGATAATGATTCAAGCAAGGCCAAGATGATTCCTGAAGACTAGATAGAGTCTTAGAATACTGGATATGAAGGTACAAGTTGATGAAATAATATTATGCATAAGCCTCCAAAGCACAAGTGTGATAAAATTCATAACGTGATATTTTTCACTATCATAATCAATTATGATGCATTAGAAATGGAAAAATGATTTTCTCTGTCAAAATTGATTATACTGGTAACATAACCAATTATGGCAATTCAAATTTGAAAAATATATCTGTTTTGAAGAATAAATATTTTTGAATATATCCTGATTTTTATTCACAAAAATATTAATGTCCAACGACCATTTTCTGATGTTATTTTTCTATTTAATTAAGTTTTGATGAAAAATAAAAAACACACAATTACAAAATTCAAAAATACAATTTACATTCAATCAGTTTTGAGAAAAGAATTCTGAGCAAGACAGTAGAGATATTTTACACCTTCTGAGAAAACTCTCTTTTCTACTACCTTCTGTGCTCTCATTATTAATCACACTTGTTCTTGGAGATTGATATTCTACAATTTGTTGTCTCCATTACCCAGGTGTGACTGTTCTTATTTTTATTACCTTCATCCTTTGTGTATTGGTGGCAAAGGAGGTACTTTTCATCCCTAGTGTGATTCTAGGGAGGTTTTCATCCTTAGTGAGATTCTAAGGAGGTGTTTTCATCCTTTGATTTGTTCAAAGGAGGTTTTCATCCCTAGTATGATTCTAGGGAGGTGTTCATCCTTAGTGAGATTCTAAGGAGATGTTTTTCATCCTTTGATTTGTTCAGAGGA